TACTTAAGAACAACAGTGCAACTTTAGAAGAGACACTTATCCCTAATTCTGGTTTTATTCGTGTGTGAGCAAATCCCTCAATATCTTCTACTGACGTTTTCAGCAAGTGAAGCGTGCATGTTCTTGACTCCTGTTTTTAGGAGTCTGTTCTGATTCCCCCATGCAAATTGGGCAATCTTGCATGTAGTTACCATAATTACCCTTTTACTCTCAAAGATAGGCTTTGCTGGGTGCAGTTGCATGCACAAATTAGATGCTTAGTTTTGCACATGTCCTGCATCTAATTTGTTTGGAAATCGGGTGCTTAATGCAGCCAGGTGGAAGTCACCGTAAGTAATTATTACTCTTTTATCTGGTATTTTTTAAAATTAAATGAGGCTGTTTGCATTAGATTATGACACGGGCCGAGAGCACTTATACAAGTGATTAAAGAAAAGGTTCTGACGTTCGACTCTCCGAGATGGCTTCTGAACTCCAGTGACTACTTGATCTTGTTCTTGCTCTAGTTTGTTCCCCTGGCTTTTATGGGCATCAGTGCAGCCAAGCATGTCCGCAGTGTGTGCACAGCAGCGGGCCTTGTCACCACGTGGCGGGACATTGTGATTGTTTGCCTGGATTCTTCGGCTCACTCTGCAACCAAGGTACTGATCCCACACTACGCTCATGCCTCCTTTTCCTTACAGATACGTGACTCTGTGCAGCAGGAACGCCTAACAGGCCGCTTTCAAGTTATCGGCTTTGGTTTTTTTTAAGTCTCAGCACTTTAGATCACAAGAAACTGTTTTACTCCATAGGCAAAATGCAAATGGGCACTTAGTCATCTTTTTGTAAATATGTTGTGCTCTGACGCGCAGAAATAAAACAGCTCTGCAGCTCAATATTTAAGCGCATATAAAATGTGGCACGTTCTGTACATAAATCTGCTGTCCAAACATTTCATTTCCCTTCTGTTAATCCTAGTATATCTGAAAGGTATGAGGACACTTTTTCCTTTTTCAGTAAGAGGCACACATCAGTGAGTACAAATACAATGGCCATCGTACTCAAACGTGGTACTTAATTCTAAATATAGGGCCAGATAAATCATGTAACCTTTCTTGGCAGTGAATAGTACCTTCCTTCGTCAATGGTGCCATTGAAATCAGGTATTACTGAACACAAGTCAAGGTGTCCGGAAATTTGTTTTGGAGGCTCTTAAATAAAAGAGCTTGATTTTTCAGAAGTGAGAATGCCCTCAGCTCCTGTTAAAGTTGACCTCTGAGCACTTTCACAAATCCAACCACTCTTAGTTAGCTGCCTAATTTAGGCTCCTATGTTTGAAAATGTTGGCCTCAATTTCTCAGTGGTATTCCACACCACCAGCAAAGTCATTGCTGTGTTTTGCCGGATCTAATTTATTGCCTGAGAGTATTTTCTACATATAGATATAATAGAGATTACTCTAAATGGCAACTACTTTGGTTAAGTTGCAGGTCTTTTAAAAAAATTGAACTGACACTTTTTTAATGAGCTGCTTTTCAGAGAGTGACAAATTACAGACAGTACTTATATGCAAAATCATTAAACACAGATAAAAAAATAACTATGTTTTCTTTTCCCTGTGCTCTATATTCAACTAACCAGTGTGCTAATTAATGTATTAAAATGAACATACTTAAGTGAATTTGTCCATATTATGTGGAAAGTTAGCCAGATTTCAAAGTGCAAAGCTGGGATAATTATCTGGTTAGGAAAACTCTTATTTTATTTTTCCTTAGCTGTGGAGTACTTCTGGATGTACTTTGAAATGCTGATCTGTCCAGCAGACTCACTTTAAAATATTCATGTCCTAATTAAAATAATTGTGTTGCAATTTGTCCTAATAGGCTATCATGTAACTTTATCTTTCTAGAAAGAAGAATGCTAGTTAAAAATATGAAATGAAGATTTGACTTGATATTTTCATTCTGCATTGACCTTTTTCTAGCTATCAGAGCATTTCCCCGTTGGTAATATGTACCTTCAGCATGCTCTGTAATATCAGAAATTCCATGTATTGACAGTTTTGCTTAGAATTCTACGCGGCAAGCAACAGAGCAGCTGCTTTTATAAATATTTTTCATAATCATGTAGCAAATTGGATTGATGATACATTACGGCTGCCAGAACACACCTGACATCTCAGCGGGACTCTTGAGTCCCACTTCAGAGCTTTTATAACTAATTAACATCACAATCAGGGTGGTTCTGCCCGCACACTACTGGTCTATCGAAGCATTATTCGTCCTTACTTCAGAGCTGTGTTTCAAAATATTGTGACGCTTGTAAGAAATGTTTGTGTTTGGTGCTCTCTGCTCTAAAGGAGAGTGATCATGTCAGATCATAACCCGGTTTCCAAGCCTAAAGATAGCAACCGTCTTTGCAGACTACTTCTGCTCTTTCTGTGTGAACATCCTCCAGTACATCAGTACCAGTCTCTGAAGTGGAGGACAGACAAGCAGTGCTCACATAATGGAAAATACCCCACCACTAGCCTCCAGCTAGTGTAACCAGAAGTTTCTCTTGTGTGATGTATTGTCTGTTGCTTGGGTCTGCATCAAACTTAGAATCACAAATCTGTTCTCCGGCATTAGTCTTCCATATTGGAGAGCAAATCAGCTACATTTTCAGTAAGCTGTTTGAGAACTTTTTTTAATTGAAAAAAGAAATCCAGATCTCATTTAAGTGATATTATCTATTTGCCTCCTAAAGAGGCAATAAAAACATTGTGTTGAAGTACTATGAACAGAGCATGGGATGGAATAATGGGACGGAAAACAGGTCGACAGAGCCTTTTAGTTTTGGTTCTTTCTGTGGCGTGCGGGTTTTTCTAACGTTTTTGTTTGTGGCATTTAATCTCTTTTCATTTAGAGAACTATTCTGTTTAGTGCATAATTTAAAAGTCAGCTTTATCCACTCTTGGAGATAAGTCAGTAACTAGACTATATGCTATTGTCCTCTTCACCGTTCTTAGGTTTCGGTTGTAGTAAGGGTAGAGGATGGTATATTGTATAAAAGCAAATGAATCACAGCTCAGGATTTCAATCTGCGACTGATTCACATTTAGAATAGATTGAGGTCATCTGCAGTGAAAGCATATAAGAAAGTGAGAATAGTTGAAATGGTAAAATAGTTGAATAATTCAGAGAAGTGCCTTTTTTGACATCACTATTATTTACAAGGATAGAAGTCCAGTTCTGTTTGCTACATTCTTCACAGAGATGGACTGTGTGTTTTATCTTGTTTTGAAAAGACATCTGTTTTTGTCAGGGAGCATAGCCAATAAGAACCCAACAATTCATTCATTGTGGAGAATAAGACAAATACAGAGCAAAGCTTTCCATCAATTTTAATGTTAAAGATTTCCTATAATTTTGTGGGAGGTTAAAGACATACCCATCTATTCATTTTTATATTTCTTTGCCTATAGTGCAGAGAAAATTCAGACATAGCTTTTTTCTCCCCATCAGTAAGTGGCTTTAGGTGAACTGATAAGAATCATTTTGTTTTGGTTTAAACATAGTATGCCTCTTTTCATAAAGCACACACAGGCATAGCTAAGACTTTTGTTCCAATCTGTGGATAAACACAGTTATTTTTTATGATTTTATCATGATGCCAAATGATAAAATGGTTGGCGTGTCCATTGTCCTCCTAGGGCCTGATCCTGAAAGTTGCTGAGGGTCCTAACTCCCATTGACTTTGTTGAGAGTTGAGAACCTTGGGGGAGATTTTCAGACGGGCCTAACGGATTTAGAAGCACAAGTTCTGAATCTCATCAGACTACCCAGCTAAGTGAAACTGGCTGTTGCTAGCACATAGCCACTGCAGTCATGCTGAGATTTGCAGGATTTAATGCGGTATTGTTGTCACATCAGTCTCTTCTATCCTGAAAAGAACCTTGCATTTCTTGGCATGTATACACTTAGTTGTACAGCTGGTGATGTTGTGAAGGGGGATTGTATATTACGGGCAAACTCCCTGCTGGTTTCTAGTTGGCCACGCATCCCAATGTGAGAACCTGACGCTCTGTGCATTAATGACTTCAGGTACTCAGGCTGTGTGCCTTTCCACCTTAGATGTCAGTGCCAAGTTATAAAGAAATATTTTTGAGTTCTTGTAATATGCATCACATTAATGGGATTCCTATTCATGGGCCAGGCGGGCAGAGCACAGATAATTGGTCTGTCAATAAATTCCAGTGCTCTGCCGATAGATGGGCAGCATTGTTCTTCAGTGCTCCAAAGATTTATTCACAGAAAACTTGCAGTAGTATGCAAGGCGGATGCAATTAGCTCCTCAGTGTAGCTTCCAGCTATATTCAGTCCACGTTCGTGGATCGCAATGTGAAGGCCTAGCCTTGTAGAGACTATTTGTTGGGAGATACCACCTTCAGGATTTTTTCTCTGCTATTCAGCCTAAATGATTTCTTTCCTTAATTATTGTAGAAACAAGCAACTGTAGGGCTAGAATGGACCTTAAGAGGTCCTGCCGTGCTAAAGCAAGGCCAACCACACCGAGATTGTCTCTGACAGGCACGTGTCTGGTTATCATCACTTGCGCCACCTTAAGAGTCCCATTCCCTCTTGCGAGTTTTCTTCTCTATGTAGGCCTCATTTGGCCAAGCCCCTAAATTAGTCCCTTCTGCCCCTGAGTTATGTCTCTGAATTCCCTTCCGTTCATTGTTCTCTTTCTGGTTCCATGATGCCTGCAACTGATTGGTCTACGCCCTCCCCATCCTTTCTATGATTTCTTTCAGTTACTGTAATCTAAGGTGTTACTGGAAACTAGACTAGGTGCCATCTATTCCATTAGACATATGGGTTTGAAGTTGCCAGTGCTCCAAGAACATTTTTTACTCCCGGAATGTTACCAGCCAAATGGACTTGGTTAGCGTCTTCCCTTTAAGGGTTATGGATGTTTTTGTTTGGTTTTTTTAGTAAGAATTTTTCCTGTTTAACTGTTTGACTTATACCCTCTGTAGTACAGGTGAATATCAGTACAGAATGAACCTCTCTAATCCAGCATTCTCTGGTCCAGCAACGTCTGTGGTCTGGCATGATTTTAGTTAGCTGGATGGCCATTTATCATGGGTGTGGCCAAGTTTCCCGCGGTCCCATAAAATTTCTTTACAGACACTAGTCCTGGCTCTCAGTGTTCTGTGCTGTTATTTAGCTCTAATTTACCCCTAAATGTCTTCTAAGAGCCTGGTAAGCAGTGGACGTGTTGGCAATGCTGCTATACAATATTGACCTCCTGTGGTCTGACAAATTCTCTGGTTCGGCACCGGACAGGTCCCAAGGGTGCCAGACTAGAGAGGTTCAACCTGTATTATTCTTAACCTGTAATCACTAGCCATTACATCCTATTGCTTCCTAACACTTGTGAAAAGCACTGCCTTGTATTTCTACAGTGTGCCCCAGTGGAAGGTATGGGAAGAGCTGTGCTGAGGTCTGTCAATGTACCAACAATGGCACATGCAATCCTATCGATGGAACTTGTCAATGTTTTCCAGGATGGATAGGAAAAGACTGCTCTCTAAGTAAGCAAGATTTTGTGTTTTACATCTCTTATTTTAAATAAGATTATACTTTTGAGTGTTAAATGCTCTAGAGTTAAGGATAAAAATGGTATTTCCAGGGAAATCCCTAAAGTGTTATCGCAGGCCAGTGCTTTATTCTCTTGATAGCTTATGTCTTTTAATTAAGCTATGTTAGCTGTATCTTGAATTAGCGTCTGCATTTGGAATTTGCATGGGCGGTTATTAGCTCCTATGATGGTAAAGCAAGGTCATACGTTCTTCTCAGTAAAGAAAAACCCATGTTCCCTTTTAATTTCCAATTGAATTCCATTTTAATCGCTTTCTCTCAACTATTACGAGAGAAATTATTAGCCAATAAATGTTTTCATGTGCCAGGCCCACACCGTTGAAAAATTCAGATGATGATATATGCCTATTACATTTAATTTAATTGTAAAAGTCAATGTGGGTTTGGAGGGATGCGTGGCTTCTTGCTGAAAATTGCCCAGGTAGAAGATTGACATTTGCTGATCCCAACGTGTCATTTCCAGAACATGTTCCTTAATTGAAGACAGATCACAGTGGGAAGCAATATCCTATCATTCCGAAATGTTACTTCATATTCAGGATACAACTAGCATATTAGACAGCATTCAGAGTAAAATATATTAAACTTCAAGTGATAAAGTATGAATCGGATAAAAACAGATGGCTGTAATTTTGCTTTTATTGTGTATCTTCCACAGGCAGAATATTGCTGTCACTCAAAGAATCAAAAAGGTTGTAAACTCCATGGATTGTTCATTATATTTAACCATCTAATTGGGAAATGACAGTTAGCTTCAATTTCACTTTGGAAAAATGGGTTTTTTTTTGCTTGCTGAGTTGGCTTGGATGGTTTCTTTGGGGTTAGATAAGGTGAGGGTTTCCCATGTGAACTTGGTATTAGCTGTCTCAGCGGGGTAGCCATGTTAGTCTGTAACTACAAAAAAAGTCAACAAGTACTCCTGTAGCACCTTAGGGTGCGTCTACGCTGCAGGGCTTAACTCCAAATAAGCTATGCAAATTGAGCTAAGTCAATAGCGCATTATATTTCAAAATAGCTTATTTTGAAATAGAGAGCGTCGACACACCACTTATTTCGAAATAGAGCACTCTTCCTTCAACGTCTCTTATTCCTCGTACAATAAGGGTTACAGGAGTCGGAGTAAGAAGTCCTCTAGCTTGACAGTATGTTGACACTATTTCAAAATAACTACCCACTGTGTAGACACAGATTAAGTTATTTCGGAATAGTGCTAGTTATTTCAAAATAGTGTTGCAGTGTAGATGTACCCTTAGGGTATGTCTACACTAACCCCCTAATTCGAACTAGGAAGGCTAATGAGGGCGACTGAAATTGCAAATGAAGCGCGGGTTTCAAATATCCCGCGCTTCATTAGCATGTTCCCGGCCAGTTGCCATTTTGGAAATTGACTAGCCCGGAAGAACTGCCCGCGTCTACATGCGGAAGAGAAGGGCGATTCCGAAATAAACCCCTTACTTCAAATTACCAGTTAAACCTCATTTGGAATCGCCCTTCTCTGCCTCGTGTAGACGCGGGCAGTTCTTCCAGGCTAGTCAATTTCCAAAATGGCGACCGGCCGGGAACATGCTAATGATGCGCGGGATATTTAAATCCCGCGCTTCATTTGCAATTTCAGTCACCCTCATTAGCCTCCCTAGTTCAAACTAGGGGTCTAGTGTAGACATACCCTAAGGGATTAACAAATATATATAGTATCATGAGCTTTCGTGGGCAAAACCCACTTCCTCAGATGAGTGGAGAAAAAAGGGGGAACCTCCCAATTTGTGGCAGAAAAAGAAGGGGGAGGGGGAGAAAAAATATCCCAGTCAATTGTAGTGCTGGTGCTAATAAGGCTAATTGAGTGGGCTGTAAGTGTCCCATACTTAGCTTTTGATGTCATTTGGGTATTGAATATAACGGCCCATCCAATTCATGTATTTGTCCAAGCCATGACAGATAATGTCAAGTTTGCATTTCAAGGCCAGTTCCGCAGTCTGTGTCTGTAGCTGGTTTCTGAAATTCCTTTGTAGCAGAATGGCTACCTTTAAATCCAGGCAGTGCCCAGGCAAGTTAAAATGGGCTTCTGCAGGTTTCTGTATGTTACCATTTCTGATATCCAACTTGTGTCCATAACCTTTGTCGTAAAGACTGTCCAGTTTGGCCAATATACATGGCAGAGGGGCATTGCTGGCACTTGATGGCGTAGATGACATCAGTGGATGTGCAGTTGTATGAACCTCTGATAATGTGGCTTATGTGATTAGGTCTTGTGATGGTGTTGCTTGTATAGATGTGCGGACAGTTGGTATTAGCTGATCTGCAGTAATTGAAGTCAGTAGGTGAACTCTTCCACAAAGAAATGGGATCAAACCCCCAGACTCCAAGGGGGGGCTGCAGAGGAGACAATCCCACAGCCCTCTTGGATCCCACAGCCAGTTCTAAAGCAGCTAGAGAAGCATGTGAGTCTCTCCTCACAAAGCCAATGTAGCCAGACGGGCATTTCTGGTGGGTTGTGGGGTGAATTCCATGTGCCAGATCCTCCCTGAACTTGCACTTGGGGAATTCAGTGACCTTTTCAGGGGTGTAAGCCATCTTTCCTCTACTAGGTAGATTTGTCACCTCCCATAACCCAGTTATTTATCTTCAAAGTTGGGCACCAGTGGAATTTTCTTAGGCTGGCTGACAGACAGAGATTTGTGTACCACACCTGCGGCAGCATGGCAAGCAACATCACTCACTCCACAAACCCCAAGACAGCCATTGTGTCCCTCTCACAAACTGAACCCCCAAAACACCATCGGAGGGAAACCTCCTCATCCAACTCCCCTGTCCGGAGATGTGGAAATATTCACCACTGCTGTACATTCAGGTTGCCTGGGAACTATTTCTTGCCTTATAAATTTGTGTCTTCAGTCTGAAGCAACGGAACATGGCTTGTTTTTTTCTTTGAAAGGCAGCAAAAATACAGATGTTGTGTTGGGGTGTTATTAGCAGTTTGGATCTCTATCTGGTACTAATAAAGAGGTACTGCAGTTATAGGAGGAGGCTTTAACATGCAAACTTTTGAACTAGCATAAACATGCTTTAAGATCTTAATTTATTTTAAAAAATCCCCCATCAACATGAACAATTGGATGCTATGGATTTGAATTTACAGTTTGAGTTCTTTACCTTTTGACAGCAGTTCAGGCGTTCAAATGAAATCAGTAGTTTTAGTACTTGCTTGCAAGTCAGATGTTAACTGTGTATAGCTGTGTTTGTGTTATGCAGGAATTCCAGAATATGAAAGGGAAAATAAAATTACTTTCATATCTTAAACTCTGATCTAAATTGTCTAAATTGACTCTCCCGATAAAGCCAGTGAGGCAATAAGATTGAATAGAATATTAAAAGCTATATACAGTCTGGATTACCTCTCCAGCTGCAAAATTCAAACCACAATAGCACCTCCCAACTTAAACATCTTTCTCTTTGGAACACACTCGTGAGCGAGGGCAGTGGTGTTGTCCCCATTGCACAGGTGGGAAACTGAGGCACAGAGAAACAAAGTGACTTGTCCATGATCCCACATGAAGTCTGTGGCCAGATTAGGGATTGATCCAGTGACTCCCAAGTTCTAGGCCAGTGCCCCTTGCACCTACAAATTGACCTGGCTTGTGGGCCAGTGGACCAATATATAGATCCATTGATTGCATTGGGATGCTCCGTGGGTGTAAATTCAGGTTGCAGGATGCCGGTCTAAATCTGAGGAAGGTTTTCCCAGGCTTGCTGCTAATTGCTATTGTGATGAGATACCTGTATTGGATGGGAACCTCTGCAGTGTGTAGGAGGCTCTCTTTTTGCAGCAACAAGCATGTTGTCATTGCTTAACAAACTTTAATCGGAATCACCCAGTTGTCTGACTTACTGTGCTCTCTTCCTCTCTCTTTGTAGCTTGTCCAGCTGGATTTTGGGGGCCAGATTGCTTTCACACTTGCAACTGCCACAATGGAGCAACGTGCAGCCCTTACGACGGAGAATGCAGATGCACAGCTGGGTGGACCGGGCTCTACTGTACTCAGCGTAAGGCTTTCAGAGCCATTATTCACCTGTCAGTGACTCTCCCAGAGTACATGCTGCTACCTTGTGTCAGTTCCGAGCATTACAGCGCTGTGTGTTAATGCACATGCCAGCATTTGTGAATCAGTTTGTCTTACCCCTCCACCCCCAAATCCCATTGCTATTGAAGGTCCCGAGTTAAAGGGCACCAGCCACAAAAGTTTTGTGACTTATTTTTATATTTTCACAGGCTGTCAATAGGATCCAGGCCTTTAAATGCCCTGACACCCTAAGGCCTAGTTCAGAGAAAAATATAGCAGGTTTCTTGACCTGGCAAAACCAGGTATCACGCCTTGAACAGGCTCCTGTACGAGAAGGTGGGATTTGGGGGGGCATTCATGAAGCCCCCATCATTTGCAAATAAGTGATTGTTCTGTTGCCTGTAAGAGAGTTTGGCTACACAAAATTGCGTATCTTTTTCCAATTTACTTTTGAAAGAGACTTTTCTGAAATTTGGTGTGTCTACATGGCCCCAAATTTTGGAAAAAAAGTGCTCTTTCAACACATCCCTTATGCCTTGTAGAACGAGCTTTCCAGGGATGGTGAAAGAGAGTATCCACTTTTTCTAAAAAATTTTTCGAAATAGCGGAGTATCCCGGAAAAGCAATGCAGTCTAGATGTAGCCTTTCTCTCTGTGTAACCAATTTCTTTTATTTTTCAACAAGCACAGTTTATCTAGATGGTCGAGTTTTCTTTTGATACACTAAAGCAATTCCGAACGATGTGGAGTTACATCTTTACAGGAGCATTCTTTTCTGCATTTAGACGAACAAAAAATCTTACGAAAAATACGCAGACCTTAAAACGTAACCCTTGTCCTTGTAATGCTACTGAGCGTGTTTGTGTATTTCCCTATTCTGGTTTTTGACAGGTTGCCCAGCGGCCTTTTATGGACGAAATTGTGCTAACATTTGTCAGTGTCAGAATGGAGCAGATTGTGACCACATCACTGGGCAGTGCACATGCAGAACTGGATTTACGGGTAAACAGTGTGAGCAAAGTAAGTAGCAAGGTTTCTTCATTTTCCTTTAATCCTGAGATAGTTTTCCCTTGAAAGTCTTGGTGGAAATTAGAGGCTTGTGCCGCTCGCGATTCTACTGGAAAGAGGGTTGTTATAATCAACATATTCTCGGAATGTCTTTTAAAAAATGGGGAAATATTCAGGCTGATCATTAATCTTCTCCATCTTCTACTATAGTTTGTCAGGTTTAAAGGAACAGAACACAGATTTGTCTCCCCAGCAGAAATCAGTACAGAACAACAGGCTTCACGGAGCATCCCTGCTTTTGGGTTCTAACAGTGCCACACTTCCTGGTGCTTTATCTGTCTTGGGTCTCTAATTTGGCACTGGGCAGTCTGTAATAAATGATGCTTTTTCTTGACAAAATGCTGGCAAAGACACAAGATATGGAATAATTAGATGTTTCCAAATATAATACTTTTTTTAAATTAAAATGCTTATAAGTCGTGGAGGGATATCAGCAATGAAAGAGACCTGTGAATTCATGGAGTGAGTCCTCCTGTCAGTGCAGGATGGCGTCAGCTCTGGGAGGCAGGTCTATCGGCTATGAAACGGATACGGCACTTGGGCCTCTGAGGCATTTCAGCCTGATTGAGGAGCTAGGGACCAGTAAAACTAATTTGGTGTAACACTGGGGCTGCTAGATGAAAAAGGAGCGATAGGGAGTGGGGGGAAGGGGCAGAGAGGAAGCCTTCCTAGTAAGAAGCTACAGGCATGCTCTCGAATTTGTTTTCACTGATTTTTGCCTCCTTAACCCCGTTCGGTGCTCTCCCAACAAGTCCTATATCTCACCTCAGTGCCCCGAGCGTTGGCTGCTCCGCTCTTGTTAGCACTCATGAAAAGAGCGTATCAGCTTTTCAAACGCCCAGGCCACAGCTGAGTCCATCGATGTGGATGCAAATCTGCTCATTAGACATGCAGTCAGGAAGCTGCCCGGGCAAATGTGAGGCACTGCAGCCCCACTGGTCCTGTGCTCATGGACCTTTGGGAGGAGCGCATCATTCCAAGATAACCCGTGGCTTTCACAATGACACGGACAGCCGCGTGCTTTGCATGCCAGCCATGCCGCGCTCGGGAACGCAAAGACCTCAGGCTCTCCTTAGCCGTGGAGAGCAGCTACAACAGAAATGTCCCCACTGTTAACCTTACAAATGACAGTCTTTGCAGCCTAGGGAGTTTCGGGATGTCAGGACAAAACCTGATTGGCACAGCTGGCTCAGAACCATTCCCAGCCGCAGCCGTGAGGAGGGCTTTGCTACCCGGACAGCATATTCACACGCAAGAGTTTGAAGAAACAGGAGGAGACCAAATTGATCCATAAAAGGCCATTAGCCAGGGGATAAAATGGTGTCCTTGGCCTCTGTTTGGGAGAGATGGCAGGAGACAAATCGCTTGATCATTGTCTTTGGTCCATCCTCTCTGGGGCACCTGGTGCTGGCCACTGTCGGCAGACAGGCTACTGGGCTAGATGGTCTGACCCAGTACAGCCGTTCTTATGTTCTAAATTTCTATTATATCTCTGCTGTCCTTCCAGAGGGGTTTCTGTAGCACCCACTCACCCTTGCTTTGAGGCATCTTCACAGTCTTCTCTGTGGGGGAAATTTTGAAAAGAGCGCACAGGGCAGGCACACAGAGCCCTGATTCTCACGGAAAGTCCATGAGATATGGGCATCTGGGTCCCTTTTATGCCTTTGAAAATCTCCCTCCAGCGTGGGAGCCACCAGCACTGTGGTTTGGAGGGAGTCCTCACTATCATGAAGGAGCGTTCACACGGCACTACCCATGAACCTGCAGTTCTGACTGCGACAGTGTACCCAGCCCCTGCGTGGGCCGCAGGAATCTTACGGTCGCCCTCTGACTTCCATAATCAATATGGTTTTACAGCAGCCAGAGACGAGAGAGGAATTTCAGGCACAGCCATGGGCAAGGGGCCTTGTGCGAGTCGCTCCAAGTGGTGTCGTGTCTCAAAGACTGCCCTCTGAGCCCTGGTCTACACTAGGGGGTTATTTCGAAATAACCTCCCTGAGGTCGAATTTATAAGTGGCGCAGCCCACGCTCCCAAGCCCGTTATTTTGAAATCTGTCCTCCTGCATTCCGCGAGGAATAACGCTAATAGCGGTAGTGTGGACACTCCAGTGCCGCTATTTCGAAATAACGACTCCCCAATGCGTCCTGCGGCTGTAACTCCGAGGTAGCGCGTCCACGTTAACGGAGCCTGCCTTGGACTAATTTCGAGGCTTCCGCGAGTGGGGACATGTTATTTCAATTTTGTAAAATCGGGAGTAATTAAGTTGAATTTAGTTATTTCGAAATAATTTCCTAGTGTGGAGGCAGGAAAAGGGAATAAGGGAATTTGTGTGCAGCCATCTTGGTCTTGTTAACAAGAGAGCAAGAGTCAGGCTAAGTCTGTGGCCTGACAACGCGAGATCTGTAATTAGACGCTGCCTTTGCCTCTCGCCTCCATACGGAGATAAGGATAGAACGCTGACTCTGGTAGGGACCTTGAGATAAGAAGCATCTGGGTGGAACTAAATAACTGTTAGCCATTGGTGTTTGTAATGGGAAGGAGACTAATTGTTATTGTTATTATATTTAATAGACAGTATATAAACTGCTTCATAATTGCTTGTATTCGAAGATCTGCCTCGGTGAGGGGGGGGACTCCCCCCCCTGTCCGAACCAGTTTTTCCCTTGCTGCAGCTCGTAATAAAACTGCCTCTGGCTACTTGTTGCTTACAAACTCAGAGTGAGGACAATGTTTTCTTCCACACTAGTATAGATATGCCCTGAGTAACAAATCCTTCCCTGCTTCCTCCTTGCTTCCACAGATTAGTAATTTATTCCTGGCGTATATTCTTGCCAGCAGGAACTTGACCACTCAATTATTCTTGAGCTCTGTGTGGGAAGGAGCAATGCTGCTCTGCCCTCTTCTTTCCTCTTCCTGCCCACCTTTCCAGGAAGGTGCCAACCAGGGAAGTGGCCCCACTTACTCCCATGTGCTTGGACCCCAGATCCAAATGACTTTCGGAGAGGAAATTTGCTCCTTACTCTGAATCAGCAAGCCTCTGACTGAGTCTGGAGCATTTACACATTACATTGTTCTTGCTGTTGTTATTTCTGCTTGGTGTAAACTTAGGGAAAGTTTTGCTTTTACAGTGAAAATAGATCAGACAGGCAATAGCTTCTTCCCAGTCGCTCAAGCAAGTGCCTGGCATTTCTGGACAGATGGGCATTTAACTAAAGTAGTGAGTGAGTGTTTAACAATGGAACTCAATTGCTTTTCAAAGATGCTGGCGTTTGTGATTGTAATTACTGTCAGTTTCTCCCTGGCATGTTTAATAAATACCAAGGGCCCAACAACTTCTGACAACAAAGAATAGCGCATTGGTTACTTCATGTGTGGTAATTGAATAATTACCCATTTATCTCGTAAAAGAAATCAAAAGAGAATTCCCACACACTTATTTTGAATTCAAAATTTAGAATGAAATCCAGCTCCTCTCACATGATGTTAGTCCAATAGCTTTCTTTGTTTGTGTAACCCACACACCGAGTGGGTGTGGTTCACTGTCCCATGTAGTGGCCCTCAGACCAGTGATCCCCAACGCGGTGCCCGCGGGCGCCATGGCACCCACCGGGGCATTTATGTGTGCCCGCCTAGTGACCAGGGCCAGCCCGAGCCAATCTTGAGCCCCGGGCGCCCCAAAAGGTTGAGGCCCACTGCCTTAGACCCTCACCAAACTGTACAGAACCATGCGCTTCCGTGGGCAAAACCCACTTCCTCAGATGAAGCGGAGCGGCAGTAACAGAAACCAGGAGAGCTAGATAATGGCAGAAGACCTTCCTGTCTATTGTAGGACCTGTGTAAACGAGGCTACTTAGGCGGGCTGGGTGTGTCCCATTCATAGCTTCGGACGTGGAAATGCGGATATTAACGGCAGGGGAAATTGGCTTTGTAGTGCACCAGGGCTGACTTTAAGCCCAGGGTAACGGTGTAGCTAAATTCCAGTTCTGCAGCCTCGCTCTGTGATTGGTCAGGGAAATTCCTTGGTGCCATTTAGAGTGAAAGATAAGAACAAGGGAGCTCTACAGCTTAAACTGAGAGCCAGCTGGCTCTATAGCTTGAGCTATCGCAGCTCCTGCTCTAAATTCCAGAGTTCCTAGATTCAAATCCTGGACACGCTCCCACTTGTATCCACTAGGGATGTAAAGGACTAGTCCAAATGCTTATCGGATAGTCGACTAGTCACTCCTCCCCTCCCCCTTGCTGCCTCTATCAGGTAGAGGCAGGAAGGGGTGGGGAGAAGAGAGGAGTACTTAAAAGTGGCAGTGCCATACAGAGCCTGGGGTCAGCTGGGGAGTCCCCAGCTTATCTCAGGCTCAGTGTGGCGCTGCTGCTTTGAAATGCCAGGTGGGTTACTTTTGCAAGCCGATATGTGCCTAGCTGATATTGTAGAAACAAAGAGGATGGGGCATTATCTTTTATTGGACCAGCTTCTGTGGGTGAAAGAAACAAGCTTTTGAGTTTGCACAGAGCTCTTCCTCAGGTGATTTCTGCCAGAATGGCAATAAAATCCTAGAAAATAATACCCAAGGGTATGTCTACACTACCCCGCTAGTTCGAACTAGCGGGGTAGTGTAGACATACCCTTGGGTATTATTTTCTAGGATTTTATTGCCATTCTGGCAGAAATCACCTGAGGAAGAGCTCTGTGCAAACTCAAAAGCTTGTTTCTTTCACCCACAGAAGCTGGTCCAATAAAAGATAATGCCCCATCCTCTTTGTTTCTACAATATCAGCTAGGCACATATCGGCTTGCAAAAGTAACCCACCTGGCATTTCAAAGCAGCAGCGCCACGTAGCCGCGCGGCATGGGGTTCGAACAAGCCGGCATTTAAAAATGGCGCCGGCCGGCTTATGCAAATAAAGCCTGGGAAATTCAAATCCCGGGCTTCATTTGCACGTTCGGTATGCATACATTACCCCGCTAGTTCGAACTAGCGGGGTAGTGTAGACATACCCCAAGAGCTTCTAAGAATATGTTCTTACATTCGTCCTTCTGAATGTCTGTGCATATGTTGATGAGATGCATTAATATGTTTGCCTGTGTGTCCACGCAAGAACATGTGTGTCTGTGTAACTGGTTTGTTCGGTACACTCAGATGGCATACAAGAGGCTAATTAGCATGTTGTCCATTTGCATTCACACTTATTGCAACTGTGTGTGCAATAGGAACATAAGCACATCAGAAATGCCCTACCGAAACAGTCCAGCATATTGTCATCAGTGGTGGCAAGTACCAAATGTAGCAGAGGAAGATGCAATTGGCGTTAATGGGGATAACTTGCCTTCTGAAAGCTTCCTTCCCCATTAACTGGAGTGTGCCTTATGCCCTGAAACCTAATGCTTCCCACATCTTCTTTTATATATATATATTTACTATATAACTCTCAACATTCTTGATTTCCTTATGAAAGGCTAGATTTTCTTGGAACCTCACTGAGGTTAGTCATAATAATGGGAGCATACAAATCAAAGAACCTTTTTTGTACCTCACTCTGAAAACTTAATCATTGGGTTGGTATCAGACTGCGCACTAATTAAACAATTTTTTTCATCTAGGAGTTTGCATGCATCATGAGAGAGAGAGAGAGAGAGAGAGAGACATAGAGTCTTACTGCTTATTAAATGTTACAAATCCTTATGCAGATATTGGCTAATTTTCACTACTTAATATTAATGTTTGTCTACAAGAAGTGACTTATCTAGAGTTGACTTGGGAAGGTGTCATCATGCTGTGTCACTTGTTCATAGTAAAATGTAGGAAGTCGTAGCTTAAAACCAGTAGCATTTATTATAAAGAAACATAGCAGTTGTATATGTATTCAATAAAGCACCTTCTCTATAGAAAGTAATAGGAGTTGCCAGAACTTGTTTACGGGCTTTCTTTCAATTTGTTATTGAATGTTGCCTGAAGAAGCATAATAAGCTGCCTACAGATTTATTGTAATAGGCCATCATGGTAATTGTATGAATAAATTTCTCAGTTAGACATTCAATCATTTTGTCTGTGATAGAAATACAGGAAGTCTAATATCATATAAGCAGAGCTAACCAAACCATTCAGAGGCTCAGTTTTGTAATTCTATCTGCACAATTATGTCTCTCTCTCGGTATTAGTGGAGGTAATTATGAATGGATGTGGTCTTTTAGTAAAAATCTATTGGAGTCTTATAAATATACATTAAAAATTACCATTTCCAACCCATCTGGAAAAGTTCGACAGCACGTAATGGAGATTTATAACCTCTGTCTAGAATTTTTAAATATCTTCTGAAATTCTGTAGAATGGACCTCCATTCTCTGTTAAATGCTGTAGTCATTTACTGTAATTGTTAGGGAGGTTTTTTCATTTTTGTAGGACCCTGTAGATTTTGTCCCCATGACATCCCATCAGACTGGAAGGAAAATTAAAACCCAATAAATAGCACCCCAAGGTATTATTGTTGTTGTTTATTTGTGTTAGCACAGCTCCTAGGAGCCCTAGATGAGTACCCAAGTCCCATTGATCTAGGTGCTGTACAAACACACAACAAAAAGACAGACCCTGCCCCCAAAGACCTTACAATCCACAGTAAAAGACAAGAAGCAATGGGTTGATAGAAAGGTAACATTGTACCAGGGAACAATAAATAAAGTATATTTACCTCCTGGATTAAAATATTAATTTGAATGCTATGGGTGAACTCCTAGCCCCATGGACACCAAGCTCAGATTTTCCCCCTTTCTTGAGAAAAGTAATACATTTCTCTCCAATCCTTTTATTTAAATTGACAGAGTGTCCACCTGGATCGTTTGGATACGGTTGCAAACAGCTATGCGAATGCATGAATAACGCTACATGCGATCATGTCACTGGTACATGCTACTGTAGTTCAGGCTTCAAAGGAATCCGGTGTGATCAAGGTACGATGAAATTCTGTGCCCTTTAAAAAAAAAAAGATGTACGTCTTTAAAAAAACAGACCTTCAGATATGAATTGTGCCATTCCATTTACAGAATGTTGTGATTTATTTTTAACAGCGGCTCTCATGATGGAAGAATTAAATCCCTATACTAAAATTAGCCCCGCTCTCGGATCAGAGAGGCACTCTGTGGGAGCAATCATTGGAATTATTATTCTCCTTCTAATTATTATGGTTTTGCTGGCACTGTTTGTGTGGTATCGACGGAAACAGAAGGAAAAGGGGCACGACATGCCAAGTGTATCTTACACTCCAGCCATGAGGATGACTAATACAGATTACTCACTTTCTGGTAAGGGTCTTTTTATGTTAATCAACTGGAGATTCACATTACTCTTGGTTGGAAAAATGAGTTTGTTGTGTACAATATGCAGCCGTTGGTCTGTGGAATAATTGTACTGATATTCTTCCCCCAAAGGCTGTGGGTTTTTACACTAGCCAGGGTTTTGGGGGGCACACCTAAAACACAGGTGATATCAACTGGCTAGCGTATGGAAAAATGACTACAGGATAGTGCTAGGAACCATGGCATGTGTGCGCAGTGGTAAATAGAGAGGGCTCAATCCTGCAGCTTTTACAGCAGGGGTGGGCAATCGTTTTAGGCGGGGGGGCTGCTTCACAATTTTTGAAGTGGCCCCAAGCTGTCCTTGAAGGGGCGGGGCCTCACACGAAAGGGGCGGGGCCAGGACATTTCCATGCTTCCCTGCCCACAGACCCTGATTGGCCTGGAGGTGGGGAAGCTCATGAAGTCTTTACCCCTGCCTCGCCCCCAGAGAGAACCACCAGCTGTTCTGAACAGCCGGCGATTCCCTCTAGGCACCTGGCGGCAGGAGAGACTTTGTGTGCTCCCCCCTGCTCCCAGGTCAATCAGGGTGTGGGGGTGGGGGAGCGCACAAAGTCTCTTGCTCCCCGCCCGGCCCTGCAAGTGGCGTGTGGCACTTAGAGTGAAATGCCAGCTGGCGGTTCACTCTAAGCACCGCATGCCTTTGGTGGAGGAGGAGGCCCTGACTGGCCTGGGCATGGAGGAGTGGCAGGGCCTCCACAGGCTAGATCAACCCACTTGGCAGGCCGAATCCAGCCCACAGAGGCTCTCTTGCTCACCCCTGTCATATACGGGCTGCATTCCCCACTGAAGTCAACAGGCATTTCCCATGTGAGCAGCTACAGGATGTAGTGAAGAACAGGATGACTGTAATAACTGTAGGATTTTATCTGACAGTGGCATCTTCTAATTTGGAAGGGAAGATTTGCCCCCCTCCCACCCGGTGACACCTTCTTCTCCACCGCCCCTTGTTCCACGAGGAGTAACGGTAGTTCGGAATAGGAAGCCTAATCCGAACTACCTAGTTCGTGCCTCGTGTAGCCGCGGGCACGGAGTCCGAACTAGCGGACATTTAAAAATGGCGGCGCCCGGCAATATGCAAATGAAGCCCGGGAAATTCAAATCCCGGGCTTCATTTGCAACTCCGGTTGCCTACATTAACCATCCTAGTTTGAACTAGGGTGGTAGTGTAGACATACCCCTTGAGTAGGATGCTTCATAGTGAATTCTCTGCTGGGAGTTTGTCCCCCAGTCTTGTATCCTGTCATCTGTACTTAGTAGGGAGTTCCCTGTCAGCAGTAGCCCTCTAGCTGTGGTTTGTCCCTTACATGGCTGAGAGGCTGGCGTTCCTGCTCCTGAGGTGAACGGAGGCTTCTGGAACTGGTGGAGATAGCTCTCGCATGCGTGTTTTCTCCAGTCCTGCATTGCCTTCTTTTTCCTCTAGATAGATGAAAGGCACTTGTTGTCCTGTCACTCGTGGCTGTGTTTGACTTGCTGTCACCAGCAAGGCTCCATGGATAAGTCATGCCCTGTGCAGAAGGAATTCTTTTGGCTGCGAATGGCTGCCATTTTGTGGACATCACTGTGTATGCAAGACACAGAAGGAAACCTCTCCATGTGCAATGAAGTATGACCTGGTCAGACTCATTCACAACCGGGATGTGTTCAGGCGCTGGGTTCTGCAAAGGCCTCACAATTTTGGTTCTGATGTCATGTGCATGCTTTGCCATTGTAGAATCATAGGGTGAGAAGGGGGGTCATCTAGTCTAAACCCCAACGATGAGAAGAAACGAGATGCAGCATCCCCGACTTTGGCTTCGCATCCTCTCGGTCTGAGCTCTTTTCTGGCCCACTTGGCTTCCTCACCTGGTTTTGCTACAAGGCAAAATCCACCCACAGTAGTTCTTGGAGCCCCTCTCCCTACCTCTGGGGTTTGGTTTTCATCACATCTCTTTCGCAGCGGCCGACTTAGGTAGAACATAACGTGGAACACTGGTCATAGAGGACTCCTCTGTCCGAGACGAGGAGCTTGGCGTGCAATTTGCCCCTTCACCAGGATGAGAAGAGCCAAGCTCTGAATCCCCAGCGAGACAAATGTGGCAACAGTGGGGCTCACGGGGCATAGGTGTGGTGTCAAAGCCAGTCAGTCCTGTCCTAAGTGGAGAGGAATGCTCTGATCTCTCAGACATTCCTTTTCTTTCCGGCTGGCTTGTTATTAATGTGTGTATGAGGCTTACTCCACTGAATATATTGAATGGCACCCACATCTTTTCCAGTGGCAGACTGGATAATAGAGAAATATTGCTCAAGTTTTGAATTGCTGGGCAGAGTCAGTCCAGCCAGCCAAGGGAGTGAGAATTGCACCTTTGCTCTTTTGATTTGCTGCCAGTGGAGAACTCGTCGGTGAAACCTGATGACCTCCTTGTCTGACGTTCCTCATCAAGTCAAAAGACCTGCTAGTGCTGGGAGTGGACAGTCCCTCCCTCACCCCTGGAAGTGACGCCATGCAGACAGGTCTTCTGTCCGTGCCACGCAGACAGAGCCATAATGATTGTTGTAGCCGGGACTCACCGAGGCAGCCTTGCTTTCCCATGCTGCTAAATCTTTTTACATCACGTTCTTCTTCTCCTGCCTGACTTGTAACCTTCCATCCTGCCACACGGGATGCCCCAGTCTTGTTGGTCTAGCTCTGGAACAGATGCACATGTAGAGGGAAGGGTCATCGAGACGGGTGACTTCCAGGTAGCTGCACAAATATGTGAGCTCTCCATCTTCCACATGCTGCAGCATCCGGGATACCTTCAGGGCCTGGTGCAAGGATAGAAAATAAATCCTCTTTCATGTGACTGTCGTGCCCTCCTCCACGATGGCCCAGTGTCAGGCTGATGTGCCAGCTCTGTGTTGTTCCAAGTAGGAGCTACTGGGGCTTGGCTCACCCTGCCAGGGGGAAGCTGGAGCTGGGATTTTGGTCTGGGTTTGTTTGGTTGGTTAACTTCTCCTTCCGTGTCTTTTTGACAATAGAAAGGTTGTTGCTCAGGAACCAGCAACTAAGCTGGGTCAACCAACCCTTTTCTCCAGGGTCACAAGAACATCCTCCCCTCCCTCCCTGGTCTCTGTGTGTGGGTAGGCAGGTACACCAGGCTGCCTGACCTGGCTGTTCTGCCGGCTCTCTTAGTGCAAATTGCCTAGTAGCGTCAAAACCAGTTCTGCCGAGCTGGCCTTCATTTTCATAGGGTTCTGTGAAGGAACACGTGGCGACTCCATGAAACTCCCTGACCAATTACGACTGGGCCCCTCAGCTGTGTTCTGCCTGTCTAACTCCTCGATCCTCTCCCTCACCAGCTGGGGATGCTCAGCAGCTCCTTTTATAGACAAGAGTGCCAGGGGATGGAGCACTGAGAAGGAAATAGGGATCTAGAGGTTCATACCGGAGCACAGATAGGCTGGCAGTCTGACTGGAGGGCGGGGGGGTATGTGGGGAGAGGGGGGCAGTGAACCGTGAGGGAGGACGCCAGTGCCACTACCTACATCACATACACCTCAGGCTGACACTGGGATTCTGTACATGGATTGAGGGCACAAGAGTATCAGGGCATTTCTTACCCACTGCTGGGTACCGACAGTGTCTCTCTATGTGGTGGGACGGGGGCAGTGAACCGTGAGGGAGGACGCCAGTGCCACTACCTACATCACATACACCTCAGGCTGACACTGGGATTCTGTACATGGATTGAGGGCACAAGAGTATCAGGGCATTTCTTACCCACTGCTGGGTACCGACAGTGTCTCTCTAGTCCTCCACACCTGCGTGACCTCAGTTGGAGTATTGTATCCAGTTCTGGGCACCGCATTTCAAGAAAGATGTGGAGAAATTGGGGAGGGTCCAGAGAAGAGCAACAAGAATGAATAAAGGTCTAGAGAACATGAGCTATGAGGGAAAACTGAAAGAATTGGGCTTGTTTAGTCTGGGGAAAAAAAAGACTGAGAAGGGACAGGATAGCAGCTTTCAAGTACTCAAAAGGGTGTAATGAGAAGGGAGAATAATTGTTCTCCTTGGCCTCTGAGGCTAGGACAAGAAGCAAGGGGCTTAAATTGTAGCAAGGGAGGTTTAGGTTGGGCATTAGGAGAAACTTTCTAACTATCAGGATGGTTAAACCCTGGAATAAATTGCCTAGGGAGGTGGTGGAATCTTCATCATTGGAGATATTTAGAGCAGGTTAGATAAACATCTCTCGGGGATGATCTTCATGAGGGTGCTTGGTCCTGCCGTGAGGGCAGGGGACTGGACTCGATGACCTCTCGAGATCCCTTCCAGTTCTATGATTCTATGGAGCAGTTTCTTAACTAGCCATAGTGATGCTGCCAGGAAACATGAAGCTTCCATGTCCAGGGACTTAAGTGGGAATTTGGATGACTAAGGGCTCCGTCGATGAGCTCCGCAACATGGTTATCCCCTGGGCTGTGCACAAAGGGCGATGGTGAGACCTTTATTTCAGCCGTTCCCTTTTGTGGCCTAGTGCTGCTCCCATGCCTGGAGTCTGTCCCTGCAGCCCAATGATGTAGAGTAACCAAAGTCAAACATGATTTCACTTCTCAAGGACAGTTAGGGCTTTGGCTTTTAAGTATTTATGAGGCCAAAAATCCATAGTAGTAGAGACGCTAAAACAGAGAGCCCCAGAGACAAGCCTTGGATTATTTTGTGTCTGTGGACAAAAAATGTGGCAGTAAAATAGAGACTCTCTGCTCTCAAATCTGCATGGCTAAAAATGGGAGAGAGAGCCATCCCTGACAGGGAGAACAAAATAGTGGAGCTACACTGCATTACGTGGATCTGAAAGCAGAAGTTCCCCCGGAACTTATAAGCAAGGCTGTGCTCCCAAAGATGAGAACGATATACTCTCTTCCAACTAGGGATGTTAAATGTAATCAGCTAATCGACTAGTCGATGGAATTTCCAGCGATTAGTCAGTCGCTAAGCAAGGGAGTCGCAGTGGAGTTAGCTCCTGGCTCTGGAAGCTAACCCCACCGCGGCTCTGCCTTTTAAATGTATTAAGATCTGACAGGCTGTTAATACATTTAAAAGGCTGAAGTGCAGTGGGGGGATCCGATGCGAGCCAGCCAGCTGATTCCCAGCTTGCACTGGGTTTCCCCTTCCCCTCCCTGCTGTGCACCAGCCTTTTAAATGTGTTAAGAACCAGCAGGCTCTTAATATCTTTAAAAAGCAGAGGTGCAGCATCTGGGACTGGGTGTGAGCCAGGAGTCAGCTGATTCCCGGCTTGCATCTGGTCTCCACTATACCCCTGCTCCCCGGGGAGACAGTGCTGGAGGGCACCAGCTTTTAAGCTGGCTCCACCCAGCACCGGTTCCTGCTCCACCCTCTCGCTGCCTCTGTCTGATAGAGGCAGCAAGGGTTGGGGGAGCGACTAATCGAGGGACTCGTCGACTACGTGCCCGACTTCCATGGGCTCAGGTTGAGTTCTTTGGCCTGATTCCACGGGGGAATCTGTGTGGGCAAAGCCTGGTGTTCTTCTGCTGTCCCAGTGTTGTCACCAAGACTTTATGCTTTCACAGAGTCCCACTGAAGCCTGGGGGTGGGGTGGGTGTTGATCCTGCTAGGTGGTGAACACACAGGCCACCATCCAAGCTTTTGTGAGTCTGTCAGGAGCTTTGGAAAGGTGCTTACGTGCTTTCCTGTGTTTGCACTGGAATGCTCAGCATCTTGCAGAGTGGAGCCCCCGAACTCTCACAAGGATGAGAAGCCAGCTTCATGGCCCCTTGGCAGGATAGATCCTTCCATACTAGTATTCCTGGGTTTAACTCTTATGGATTGAACCTCTCTAGTCTGGCACCCTCGGGACCCTACCGGTGCCAAACCAGAGAATTTGCCAAACCACGGGAGGTCGATATTGTCTAGCAGCATCACCAACCCTTCCACTTCTCACTGGGCTCTTAGAAGACATTGAGGGGTAAATTAGAGCTAAATAACAGTACAGAACACTGGCAGCCAGGACTGGGGGCTGTAAAAAAACTTTATGGGACAGCGGGAAACTTGGCCGCACTCGTGATAAGTAGCCATCCAGCTAACTAAAATCACGCTGGACCACAGATGTTGCCAGACCAGAGAGTTCCAGATTAGAGCGGTTTAATCTGAACCTTTTATATATATAATTTACTGAATATGAATTATACATATATAAATATAAATCCTTTGCTCGCCATTTGGCACGGACACAGGCCCAGCCCGAGAGAGGTTGTTTTCCAGTGGGGACAGCAGTTGATCTGCTCTAGAAGTGTGTTCAGGCAGCATTTATTAGTGCTTCGGGAGCAAATGTGTCGAAGTTGGACTGAGGTGATCAAGGTGAATCAGCTGACGCAGCCACTTAGTGGAATTGCATAGAAGTTGTCCTGGGTATGTGGCAGCACCAGCAGTGAAGGAAGAAAAGGATTTTGGAGAATCAGACTCGTGTATGTATCTCGCAGTCCTTAATCTAGCCTGGCCACGCTTTCTGTCAGCTGCTTTTTAGCTGCTGATTCTTCTGTCGATAAGAGAAAGGGCATCATGGAGAACAGGGAAGGTTACTTGTCCAGATGACTCTGCTGGTTTCATCGATTTGTGGGGCAGGAGATTATGGCTCCAACTCTGTACTGAACTGCATCGTACTCAATACTGACACGTACTTCTGTGAAGCTCTAAAGGGTGCTGCCCCATCTGATCTTTTGCAGAGGCTGCCGAGGAGAAAGCTCTGTCTTTAGAGAGTGGGGGGACCTACATATCTTGGGGAGCATCCAGCCTCTCAGCAAAGCAGGTTCGAGGCTGGGTTAAAACGACCGTATTTCTGAAGCGCACGTCATGGCTGCCACACGTGTGTTCCAGTCGCGGTTCTCGTTTGCAATCGTGCAGTGGGGGCTGTGCCTAGTGACACTGAATTGTAAATGCCACTGAGTTATAGTCCTAAAACAGGGGTGGGGAACCTAAGGCCCGGGGGTCAGATGCAGCCCCCCTCTTGCCTGGCTCCTGCTCCCCCACCGTCCTCCCGTGGGGCTGGAGCACACAAAGTCTACTAGCCTGGGCCCTGTAGGCTCTGGTGTGTGAGGAGAATGTGTGGAGTGTCTTTCTCCTTCTAGCTGGGGGCCATGTCAGTGAGAGATTTTTATTTTTTTGTTGTTTTGTTTTTGGGGAGGGTTTTTGCTTCTCGCTCGTGTGTGGCCCCCAACTGATTTTTTCTGTGGGTCAGCGGCCCCCAACCCAAAAAAAGTTCCCCCCCCTCCCAGTCCGAAGAGATGGCAAGGTCCTGGCATTCCTTCTCATTGCCCTGTCCCCTGCAGTGTGTGGCCTTGTCCATACTGAATATTCATTGTGCATCTGTCTGTCTACGTATTTAGATGCTTCTATCGCTCCCTGGGCTGTCCAGAGTGCTTAGAGAAAAGAGGTTAGGTGTGCTATGATTAAACACAAATGCACAGATCCTAGCTGGTGGATGTTAGATACAAAGATTTGTAAACAAAACACTGTGTAAGGTGTGACGCTATGTAAGTACATCAACTTTAATCCTTCAGGCCTGGACTCACAATACTCTGTATGATGTACTTTGTTGCCAATCAGTTCACAAAAATACCTGAAACTAAAAGGTTGCATCACATTGAATGCAATAGCTCAGCTCTGTATTGCAGTCAAAGTCTATTTGCTGCTGTCCAGCGCTCCCTACATTGCTTTGGGAGATCCGGCAACAAGAACTGATTACGTTTGCATGGGTCAAAGGTGCAAGTCCATGTTTGGCCTTTTTACTCTGTGCTCTGCCCTAGCACTTCTGTTAGGTGCACAGTGCAGATGAAAACATTCATTTGACAAGTGAATACTTTGCAAACTAGATCACCACAAGATGTCAGCAGAGCAAAGTACATGTTCCCGTATGCACGTCTGTAAAACTAATCCGTTTGCTTTTTGCAGGACTTTGCCTGTTGTGCTGTTTCTTTTTAATCTTTCTAACCTATCATCCTTTCCTTCGACATTCAAAGACACATTTCAACAATGTATTGTTAAAGTGGAAAAAAAATCCAGATTGGTGTTTACAGAAGAACTGCCAATATAGGCACCATGCTGTTCTTGGTAAAATATTTTGTACAATGAGTGTGTTCTTAAGAAAAGAAGTACAGAAATGTGCCTTTAACTCACCAATACAATTATTGATGTTTGCCTTTCAGTGGTACAAGACTCCTTCCTTTAAGCCTTTGGTCAAAGAGTTATAGAAAATATATTTATCCCATTGGTACAGACATTTAGAGGACCCTTCTTTCTAAAATTATACCCTTATTGTAATAAAAGGTGGTAATTAAAAGTTAATTCAATGATTCTTTTCATTAACTGACTACTAGGTGGTTTAATCTATAGAAGACAGTGTATGATAGATTGACCTTGCATAGTTTTGCATTTCATCTTTAAAATATAATGCACTTTGTCTACCAGAAAATAGTTTTATTTTGTATTTATGATCTTCAAAAAGATAAAACTGTGTGTTCCTTCAGTATTTTGCTTTTGTAGCTGATTTGTAATTGTTTGTATGTTAATGGTAAAGAACTCCCCACCATCCTTAGGTCAAACTATACAAGATAGTTTAACTGACTGGAAATTTATGCTATATCTACTAGTATATGCTTATCAGTTTCTGGAACCTGATCTTCCCCAAAGTGTATTCCCCGTTTGCAACTTCCAAAGTGTCTTTATGGCTTCCAAAGTATTTTGTGATGACTTGTTCTCTTCCCAGATATATCTCAAGGTAGCAGCAGTGTACATTGCTTTTCCAATCCAAGCTACCATACCCTGTCATGTGGTGTGACTTCACGCTTCTTTACCAATAATCTGGATGGAAACAGCTCCAGTAAGGTAGATATTATCACACCCCACTGTAGCAATGTTCTTATCAGTTCAAGGAAATATACCAAAGTAATGCCTTTTGATTAACAGTTGAATAAGGAAGAATCCTAACACTCCAGCCTAACGCTCATCTGATGAAGTGGGTTTTACCCACAGAAGCTCATGATATAATATACAGTATTTGTTAGTCTCTAAGGTGCCACAAGACTAACCTTTTTTAAAGTTGTTTTTAAAGTTACAGGCTAACACGTTTACCCCTCTGAGACGCCAGAATAAGTTACACAAAAAAGGTCTGCTGTCCCATATGTGTATCTGCGTGATCGCTGTGCATGGTAATTGGAACTTCAGCAAGAGCAACTATGGGACAATAGACCTCAACATTTTAGCCATCTGAGTTTGCTTCATGGGAAAATCAATAAATAGCTGGACTGTCATTTATTTAAATGTAAATAGCCACTTCTTCATAAGGCAAAAGGAAATTAATGAGCCATAAATGCAGTCAGCCATGTAACTTCGCTGGTGGTTGCATAACTGACCGATCCCTGTGTAGAATACCCAGGCATAAAGGAAAGTTGCAAGGCGTTATCTAGTCTTGTGGTGAGCATTGTGCTTTTCTAAGGGAGTGCCGGCGGCTCTGCTGATACTTGCTGCTGCTCAGGCGGAGTTGTTTTAGCTCAAGTATAATACCCGGCAGTTGTGTAGTATCTTCTTAACATATTCCCATGGACTTCAGTTGGACTGTTTGCAGACAAAAGTGCTACCCCATGTAATTAAGGGGTTCAGAAGGTGATATCTTGAAAATAATATTTAGACACTGTTCATTGGTGAGAAGAACGCTTCCTGTAGGGCCATCCCAAGCCATCGGTCATCTTAAGAAAAAGCTGTAATTGATTTAAGTGGGGGTGTTTGCTCAAAACGTGATGATATTCTGGTCTGTGTCATTCTGATCCAAATGTAGCTCCTCTAACCAGAACGTCACCCAGGCAATATTAAGGGGAAAAGAGTGATACTTCTGTAAAGGATATGCAAAATACTTCCACACATTCTCCCTCCTGGCTACTAAAAGCAAATCTCATTCCAATGTTATAGAAAATGTGGCCCCACAGTTTTCACTGAGAAAAGTGAAGGCAGCTATATAAAGAATGGAATGCCTTTTCAGTGGATTGATGAATTGATTTTTGTTACTAGTGCATTATTTTGCCTGTAGACCCCCCCACCCTCGCACTGCACGGTGCACTTTTGCACGCCCCAGATTGAAAGTGCAAATGGTAATAGTTGTCAAAATTGAGGCTCATCTTCGCGAGTGCCAGCCTTCACGGCTAATGCTTCAGAAAGAATCGCAGTGAATTCTGCTGTCACCTCACCTCTTAAAATATTCAGCTGCTGGGAGGGAATAAAACCCAGAAACAGTTTTAGACCAGATTGGAAACCATTTCCTTTCCTTTCCCACCCGCTGTCAATCACTCATTGAAAAGGTTGTTGCGGTGTTTGATTATATTTTTAGTAGAGTCCTTATCCAAATACATGGCCTGGTTTTCTTTTAGTCCCCTCTCTCCCTCCCTCCCCCCAGCTTACTTATTCATGAGACTGTGCTACAGCATCCTGTTAGCCAGGTTGGCCTCTCCTGTGCTGCTCCTCTCTGCAGTGTTCTAGACAAATAAATCCCCTCATGGCTGCCTTAACGATTTTCATTTCCTAATGAGCGTGCCCGATGTCATCCCTGCTCTCTGCAGGGAAAGATGCACATTTAGTACTGGAGTGTGTGTCTGTTTGCAGTGCGGGCTGGGGTCACAATGGATCCAGGGACAGAGCACAAAAAAGTGCGAGAAGGAAATGACAGGCATTCCCGGGGGGGGTTGAATGTGTCTAGACCAGAGAATGGTGGCTTTATAACCAGGCTCCCTGTGTGCTAAGAGGCAGCAGGCCTAGAGACACTGAGCTGGAGCTGTTCTGTTCTGTTCTGTCCTGTTTGGAGGGCAGAGGGGCAGCCTGGGTGGAGAGGTAAGGAAGAAGTCAGTGGGTAAATGTAAATCTTGGTTCAGCTTTGAAACTCTCTTTTTCTCTCTAGTGCTGGGACTCTGTCTCCACTCCCCCTTTCCTCTCCTCTCCCTTCCTCCCACACACAATCTCTTGTTTTTCCCTCTCTTTCCTGCTCCCTGTTGTCCCCTCTCTTAATTGTCTTTTCCATCCCCTTGTGATCTCTTTACCAGTGTCCTGTCTGTGCTCTCCTCTCACCTGCTTCCTCTCCTCCCCCAGTTCCTGTACTCTGTCCCTACTTCCCCCCGCTCAGAGTAGCTTACAGCAGCAGCAAGTCAGTCCTACTGAACGGGAGGGAGATCAGGGGGTTGGCCAGGCTGACTGGGAATCAAGGTGGGTGTTAAGCAGGAGCAAAGCAAGTAGCCATTAGTGACCCTCTTTTGTGGGCCAGCCCCATGTTGCAAGCCAGACCTTCAGACAGAGACCAGCCTGTCTCCTTTTCCAACGGTGAAACTAGAAAGAGCAGAAATATTGCTAGAGCCCTCCCCATCCTTCTCCAACAGCAGGATCGGGAGGGTGGGAGTGGAGTAGGCATCTTATATCCTGATTTATCCTTTCTGGAACTGGGCAATTGCTTGGGCCTTGCAGATTGTGCGACTAGCCCTGAAGGGAGAAATGTGAGTTTGAGACACGCAGCCTGGTCTGGTTGCCAACACTGAACAATTCTGCATCCGTGTGCAGGGTCCTAGCTCCTGACTCCAGGGTGGGAAACCGGAAGGCCTCTGTGCCTCTGTACAGGGTGTGACCATTGCACACCTGGTTACGCTACGTTATCATCTTCCTTCGATCAGTGAAGTTTCAAGTCGAAGTCCTTGCAGGGGTATGTCTACACTGCAAAGTTCATTCAAAATAACAGCCCTTATTTTGAATTAATTTTAATAGCGTCTATACATGCAAACCACTATTTCGAATTGAATTGAATTGAATTCGAAATAGCGGAGCCCTTATTTCGAATTTGGTAAACCTCATTCTACGAGGAGTAACGCCAAATTCGAAATAGCTATTTTGAATTAAGTACTGTAGACACTTAAGTCGAAATAGGGGGCCTCCAGCCCTTCCCAGGGAGCCCTGGTGGCCACTCTGGGCACAACCAGGAAAACCTACTCTCCTCCCCCCAGCCCCGGAGACATTAAAGGTGTAGACCCTGGCCACAGTGCCTGTGCCAGCTCCAAGCCTGCCAGCCCAGAGCCAGCAGTGGCCA